GATCGGCCCAGCCACCCTTCCCCAACTACAACAGGGGTCGAAAAAATGGCAGACCAGGCAGTCCTCAAGGTGGGCAGGGGAATCGCCCAGCGGAAAGCACCAGTCTGCCTGGGCCAGGTCTCTTTGCTCCATCTGAGAATCGGAGCCGTGGCCGCGCGCCATGTCGGGTCATTGTCCAGCAGGGCGAGCACCGTGAGAGACCCCAGCCGATTGTGAGGGCGCACAACACTAAAGAGGCGTCGGCGCAGCAAGCTAAGGTCGTGATCGCTTATGCTCGCGGCTTCCGAGCCGTACGAGGCCCCCACCAGGGGCCCTGCTGAAAAGACCTTTCAGGCAGAAGACCGTGTAAGCACTTTAGCCTGCCGCACTAGGCGCCGCGCCGCTCTGCCAGCCTTGGCGAGCCTGGCCTTCATCTTGGCCGAACGTCCAGCAACTCTAACAGCGCGGCCTGCCGAGTAGTCAACTCCATGGTTGACCGCTGAACCTGCACAGTGCTGACGCAGATGGCTGAGACGAGAAAGCACCTGAGATCCAACGCACTTAGAGCTGGAAACAATGGCCGTTCTTTTCAAGAGCGAAGGAGCACCCGAAAACTTCCTGAACGACAGCGTCAAGTGCCTGGGCCCCTCGAACGATCGAGTCGATGGCGACTTTCGGGGGGGCCAGTCGAAGACAAATCTTGATCATCAATGTAGACGTCCAAAGAAGCAGAAGGCGAACGGGGGATGCTGCCGTACCCTTCCATACAATAGACACGGATGAGGGTGGTGGCCATAGAACAGCCAGCGATGATGCCGTTGACAGAGGAATAAGGGCCCTCGAGCCAGCCTCCCAAGCTGAGGAAGCGACCAACTTTGCAGGCAAAGATGCTGAGCCTGGCAATCACCATCGGGAAACCGAGCCTTCGACAACGGTCGTCTAAGCGCTCAAGGTTAATGTTCTCGTATAATTTAGAGAAGTCGAAGAACATGCTGCAACTGGCTTCGCCCTGAGCAACTCCCGCCTCGGCCGTCGCAGCCTGGCGCCAAACAACGTCGGCTGCTCCCCGATGTTGGCCAGCAGCCCAGTACTCACGGGGGTGGGCCAACTCCCAGGCAAGAGCCAAGGGTCGCCTGCAGCGCCCCCACACCCTGTACCAGGAGCAGAACGCCCCTATGGGTCCGTAGCCCCCAGTCGGTTTCGGCAACAGCGCCAAGAGAGCCACAGAAATCTGAAGGGGGCAAAACGCCCAAAGCCTCCATGGGGCCGAAAAGAGCTCACAAGCAGGCCAGACAGGGATCAGAAAGGAGCGAGAAGTGCCTGCAATGGAACCCGTCCACCGAGACGGTAGACGCAGTTTTGTACGACTTCGAAATGTCCCTGATTTCTTGGGCACCCAACCGGGGAAGGCTTTCCAGCCTCTCACAGGCCGACTCCGCTCCCACCCCAGGGCCCCGCAACGAAGCAAAACTGTCCCTTTTCAGCTTTAAGCAAAGAGAGGGGGTCAGGAACAACGCTGCCAGCGGCCGAAAGGGTCGAGCTGGCCACCCACGGGGCGGGGTCCCTAAGGCGGGCATGGACTCTTTTCGCTCCTGACTGCACTCCGACATTCAACCAGGCCTTCCAATCAGAACGGGCTTTGGCAAGGAACTTCGAGTCGGCGGCCTGCGCGGCCTCGTGCACCTGGGTGTACACGTCAGCAAAGGAGTAGGGGTCAACCGTGCGCGTCACAGCCTCCTTCACCCAGCTGAACAGTGGTGCATAATCGGCCTTAGCGTTGTGAGTGGACTGAGGAGGCTGCAACAACAGGGCCTTCAAAGTGCCAGGCATCAGAGCGCCCGCTCTGAGGGAATGAATGTAGGCTTTGAGCTGCTGACCGAGACAAACAGTCGACAGATGAGACGGGTGCCGCGCCTGGCTGTCTTTGGCAAGGACCGACTTCCACGCAAGTTGAGGGCCCAACCCTCGGGGCCAATATTTGACGGGAGCCTCGCCAACAAGCGGAACAAGCTCCTTCTCAGCCAGGTCCGCCCAACGCTGGTAAAGGGGGCCAAGTAACGACGCAGCCTCATGAGGCCTGCCCTCGTCGACGTGGTGGAAAGCAGCATCAGTGAGAAGCTGGGCCCCAGACCACGCGGGGGGGGGGCAGGGGGCAGGTCCGATGACGGCCTCGCACGGCAGGGGGGGCGGCCGTCGGAACGAAAGAGCTTTCAACACTCCGAGCTGCTTAAAGAACAGCAGGTCCGAGGCGAGAGCTCCGTGTCCAACCTCGTGTCAATCCGTTCAATGGCCTTGCTGAGGCCTCCTGACACCACGAAATTGTCGAAAGTGGAAGGGGCCCAGCGGGATAGTGAGTCGGCACGCTAGGCGCAATCAACGCGCCTCGGAACTCCTGCACGAAGTCGGTGCCTCGGAGCACTTCAGGGTCCACGTTGAAGCCCGCGCCAAGAATCCAGGGTCTCGCAGCCGTGGACAGCACCGCCCCCAAAGGCGAGAGCAAGCTCAAGTTCCCGTCAGAGAGGCCATCCGAATGGTGAAGGTAGGCGGAGGCCGCCAGGAAAGGGGGGCATCCAGGAATCTCGAAGGGGCAAACCAGGGCGCGCCCACTGACGACCTGCCCACAAGGCACCTCCAGACACCCCAACCAGGAGCGCACGAAGATGGCGACACCCCCCGAGGAATCCCCCACCTCCGTGGCCGTGGCAGGCGACCACACACTTGTCCAGCCACGGCGGAGACACCAGGCACTAGGCTGCTTGATATCTTCAGCTCGAATCAAACGGTGCTCTTGACAGAGCAGAACATGCGCACCAGTGCCTTCAATCATACTGCGCACACGGCCCCAGGAGTTGCAATTGATGGCATGGGCCCTGAGGGAGACGGAATCGACCTGGACGGCCGCATCATCAAAGCAGGCCTGATGAGTCCGAGCTCCTTCGCCAGGGAAGCACAGGCCAGCTGGGCCAGTGCCCGCGCGTTCTGAGACCACAAAACGAGCTTTTCGAGCAAAAGGTGGCGACTGCAGACCATGTCGAGTCACCTGGTCCACCGACGGCCCAGGCGACCCAAGATCGTGACTGCAAGGAACCAGACACCCAGACGCAGGCTCAGGGCTGCCAGAGCCCCCCCACCACAGACCGCGGTGGGCGCAGGTAAAGGCAGCCTGACCAGCGTGGTGCGACAAGGAGCTGTCTTGTCCAGAGAGAGCACAGAATACACCTCCGCGGGTCGGGCGAACGAAACAGGAACCTGGCACTTCCGAAAGAATGATGGGCACTGGTGGTCGGTAGCCTCCGAAACTGCTGAATCCACACGAGACAGAAGGCCACGCCATCGAGTTGACGGTTGGACGCTCTGAAAAGATTTCAACCTCTGAGAGCACGAATCGACAGAGGAGGAAGCGAAAACCAGAGGGAGGCCTCGCTTGCGCCAAAGAGCCACCTGAGCCGCAGAGCGGCCAAACTTCACCGAAAAAGTCTTGCCCCCCTGAAGTTTACCGTTGTCCGAGCTGGCGGCCAACCAGACCATCTCGAGCGACCAGGATCCCGGAAGACCGAGGCCAGAGATCCCAGGGCCCAGAAAAAAACTCAAGACACGCGGGCTCCAGGAGGGGCTCAAGCAGAGGCAGTGCCAGCGATCCTGTCAGCACGCGCCCTGGTACTTGACGGAGCTGGAGGGGAAGCCGACGCCGATGCCGCCTGCTCAGAGGCAGCGCGAGCTGGAGCAGGTCCTGCCTCTGGGTGGTCTCCACTGCTGGTACCAGTCGCTGAAGCCTCATCCTTGCCAGTGCCTGCTGCAAGGGGTGGCTGTTCAGCTGGAACTCCAACACACTCGACCGCCGCACCACCTTCCGTCTTCCGCTTTTTGGCGATGCGCTGAGACAGCTGCTTGTGTTCCTCACGCAATGTATCCACTTTCGCTTTGGCTTCAGCAAACAGGGAGCGCGCCATGTCCGTGATGCCTGACTTGAAGAGGTCCACTCGATCGGCCAACTGCTTGGCCTCGTCAGGTGAGAGCTGCTCATCGTCGGTAATCGTGAAACAGTCTCCCACATCAAGGTCAAACATCTGCGAGAAGCGCTTCTCGTCCAGCAAGTTCTCCAGGCAGAGCTTCGTGCCAGAGGCCGTATCCGACTGAGGGCCTGTGCACGGTAGCTCGTCATGAAGGCGCCGAACGAGCTCGCCATGTTCACCTTCGGCCTGCTCCAGGTCGCTGCCCAGTGTGTTCAAACAGAGCAGTCTCGGCCAGAATGTTCTAAGAACGCTGCGTGCGGACCGCAGCAGGGTTCTCATAACATTCCTTGGTGGGCCCATATGACAGGCAAGCCAGGACGCTTCGCCACCGCTTGAGTCAGCCAGAGCGGCTCTTTGACGGCAAGGGCCTCCGGAGGCCGAAGGCGGCCCCAAACCCTTCGTGATGAGCTCGCCGCAACGCGAAGCGCTTCGGGCACACCGCCATACGATTAAATCGGGCCTGCCCCCCTGCATGCAGAAAAGTCAAACACAGTCGAAACATAGTATGGGGACGATTGTTTGAGCTTTCTTTTGGGGGGGTATTTCTGAATATGCTTTGGGTATTTTTTATGTTTCGCACAAGATTCCCCTGTAGGAGGACATACCCGACCTAACCATACGAGGCCTCCAAGTCGTGTGTACGCCCTCTCCCCCTCTCGCGCGCGCGTCCTCTCCGATCAGTTCTGGGGATTCTCTCTTGCTCGCCTGCTTCGATGGGGGGGGGCCAGGGCCCTGGTGCTTTATCAGCTCCCGGCCAGGCCTGGAGGGCAGTGCGCACCACCCAGTTCCCTGACGTCGTGATTGTTTCGCAACGTCGACCCTCAGGGGTCTCGACCCCGGGGGAGCGGTTTCTCATCCCGAGTCGTTGTCTCATGGTCCCGAGGGTGTGGTGAGGGCCCCCAGGGGGCCGAGAGTGGTCGAAAACCTCGACGCGAGGGGGTCTGGGCAGGACGCCTCGCCACTGCTCCGCCCCCCGCCCGTGCGCGCGCCGCCCGAGGGAGTTCCCGCAGCCGCGCTGGGCCCGAGCGGCTCCGAGCGGCCGCCGGCGGCCCGTGCGCGGCCCCTGCTTCACCGGGGCCGCCAGGGGGCCGCGGCCGCCGGATCGCGGGGTCCCTCGTCTCGGTATCGTTTCACCAGTCCCCATCTCCATCCTTCAGAGGAGAAATAGGTACCCATACCGCTACCCTCCGCCCGTTCTCCCCTTCGTGGGGCCTCCTCGGAGGCCCTCGTCGCCACCGTTGGATTCGCCTCGAAATGCTGGTCAGAACGCACCCCGGGAGAGGTCCGGGGAGAAGCGGTATCGGTACCTTTTGGTCTCCCCAATCCTCATCCCCTTCGAAGCCCTTACACATTGCCCCCCCCAGTTGGGGATGCGCCCCTGAGGGGCGCATCCCCAACTGGGGGCCTCGAGACCCGAAGGGAACGGCCTGTATCCCCATCCAGGGGGGTAAATCGGCCAGTGGGGCCCGGGCCACGCCGCTGGGGATGGGGATCGGTTAAACGATACTGCTCGTCGCAGCTGGGCGGCGCGCAAAAGGGGGGCGGCGATCAAGCGGGGGGGCCAGGGAGGGCTGCAGCAAGGCGCCAATCGGGGGAGGGGGCCCTGACGGGGCCCTTCCGGGCCCCAGGAGAGACCGCTCGGGCCCGAGGAGGGTGCGCATCGAGGGCTGCAGAAAAGGGGCTCTTGCAGGGCCCCTAAAGGGGCCCTTGACGGTCCCAAAAGGGGCCTTTCGGGCCGAGAAGTGCGCCCTTCTTCCCTTCCCCCCCCTTACCATGTATCGCACGCCTGTTAAGCGACGCCCGGTCGCGGGGGGGCGCTCCCCGGAAAAGTGCACCTCCATCCCCTCCCCCTCCACAGTTGTCGCTCCCCCCCGATTGAGGGACGCCCAGTCGCAGGGTTGGCGCGCCGCGGCGGGCACACCTCGTGGAGATGCAGGCGGGCCTCATGGAGAAGCAGGCGTCGGTGGTTCAAACCGGGGAGCGTAGGACGCGAGTGCGCCGGAGCTCGGGTTGCCGAGGCTCTTTTTGACCATCGCGTCCTGGGTTTTGACGGTCCAGTTTTCGTGGGATGCTTGCCGCGGGAGCTCGCGCCAGATTGCGGGCTGCGTCTCGTCCTTTTGAGGACGGCCCCGACAGGCCACCCCGAGTCCCCCGAGCCCGAGTCTCGCGTCTCCCCGATCAGACACAGATGGGGTCCTGAGGGATGGGGTCCCAGGGGTGGGAGGGGCTCCAGGGGCGGATTGGCAGAGCTTGAGGCACCTCGCCCTGGGGGCCCCATCCCTCAGCAGGACCCATCCTTGAGTCGCCGGAGGCGGCCAGGGTCCTCGTGGCGGGGCGCGGGCAGCCCCTGGCGGCGGGCTCGGGCCTGTCCGCCGCGGGGGCCATGAGGCCGCGGGGCGTGCCGGAAGGAGGGGGCGGCCCCAGCCCGAGGAGGCCCGAGCTCGTCTGGAAAGGCCTGGGCGCCCTCCTGGGCACCCCATCGCGAGGCCTCGGAGGGCCCCAGAGGCTGCAGAGGGAGGGGGAACGCTGGGGGCCATGGGGCCAGGGGCGGCGCCAGAGGGGCTGCCTTTGGAGGGGGGGGCACTGATCCTCGACTCGCCCGCCGGTTGTGGCTGCGGGTCCCCCACCCTGCCTGGGAACGTGCGGTCTCGCACTCGGGGCCCTACCTCGCCGATCTACCAGCGATGCGTCGACGATTCATCCAGGCCAATTCCAGGCCTCCCAGATGGGGTCCGAGTAGATGGGGTCGGAGGATCGCGCCGCATCGCCAATGCATCGGCGATGCGGCTCGATGTGGAGTCCGATATCGTCCACGCCGACGTCACAGGTGCATCGCCGACGTCGCCGGTGCATCGCCAATGCATCGGCGATGCATTGGCGATGCGGCGCGATTTTCCGACCCCATCCGCTCGGACCCCATTTAGGAGGCCTCTAACCTCGCCGATATACCGGCGATGCATCGACGATTCATACTGGCCAGTGCCCTCCCCCAAACCCCAGACTTCCAACGTCGTGCTTCTTTCGCAACTTCGGCTCCTGTAGCTCAGTCGTGCATGTCGAGGAGGAATCTTCAAACTTGTTTACGCTTCGCGAATCCCAACCAGCCCATTCAGACGCCCTGCCCATGAGAGCTGTCTGGTAATGGAGAGAAGAGACACATACTTATAGTGAAACAGAGCGTGCAAGGAGGGGAGAGGAAGGAGGATGTTGAGTCATCTTGGAGGTTATCTTGGAGCAATGGAGGCCTTCTTGGAGCTACGGGGCTGTATTGGGGGATATTCGGGTCCTCTTGGAGCTCTTTTGGGGCATCTTGGGGCCCTCTTGGCGCTCTTTGCGGGGTCGTGGTGTCCTCTTGAGGCTTTTTTGGGTCGCCTTGGGGTCCTCATAGGGGCCCTCTTGGGGCTCTCTTGGGGCCCTCTGGGGAGCTATGGAGCGCCTCCTGGGAACATCTTGGAGACCATCGATCAGCGGAGGGGGTGTCACCGATTTGCCTTAGCCTCTTGGGGCGCTCTTGGGGCCTTCTTGGGGCGATCTTGGGCGCTCTTGGAGCTCTCGTGGGCCATCTTAGGGCCATCTTGAGGCCTCAAAAGCGCATCGGAAGCGAAAAGGCGAGAATGCAACCATTATCTTTTCCGTAGGTTTTGAAGGATTTTGGCTTCTCAGGGAGGTCTTGAGAGGGGTCGCCAAAAGCACCTGGAACGTGGCCCTCTGAGCCATGTTGGGCTTTCTTGAGCGATCTTGTAGGCTATCTTGGGTTCTCTGAGGCCCACCCTCTAACACCTCGCGCCCCCCCCCGTCCAGGTCCAGGGGAGGGGGTTGGGGGAGGGGTAAACCCCTCCCCGAAGGGTAAGAAGGGTTTGTGGAAGAGGAAAGAAAGACATCGTTAGACCACCTGTCGCCCAGAGGGCTAGTGGGAATGTCAAACATAGTGTGTGGACCATTTCTCGTGCCCTGTTGACTATTTTTCCCTACCTAGGCTCTGCCTAGAAGGGTTCTTACTCTCTAGCTTAAAGGGGCCGAGCAGTGGAAAGCGCCCCGGGCGGTTCCCCCAGCCCCCTGGGAGCGGTTCCCCCAGTCCCCTGGGAGCTTTCGCTTTAGCTTTAGCTTTAGCTTTAGCTTAGCTTTAGCTTAGCTGTAGCTTTCGCTTTCGATTTAGCTTTAAGTTTAGCTTTAGCTTTAGCTTAGCTGTAGCTTAGCTTTAGCTTAGCTTTAGCTTAGCTTTAGCTTAGCTTTAGCTTCGCTGTAGCTTCGCTGTAGCTTAGCTTTAGCTTAGCTTTAGCTTAGCTTTAGCTTAGCTGCAGCTTAGTTTTAGCTTAGCTTTAGCTTAGCTTGAGCTTAACTTTAGCTTAGCGTTAGCTTAGCTTCAGCTTAGCGTTAGCTTAGTTTTAGCTTAGCTTTGCCTTAGCTTTAGCTTAGATTTACCTTAGCTTTAGCTTCGCTTTAGCTTCGCTTTAGCTCTGCTTTAGCTTAGCTTTCGTTGAGCTTTAGCTTAGATTTAGCTTAGCTTTAGTTTAGATTTAGCTTAACTTTAGTTTAGCTTTACCTTAGTTTTAGCTTAGCTTTAGCTTAGCTTTAGCTTAGCTGTGGCTTAGCTTTAGCTTAGCTTCAGCTTTGCTTTAGCTTAGCTTTAGCTTAGCATTACTGTCGCTACTAATGCTGCTTTCCTAGGGGCTCCAACTCCTAGGTAGGGTCGCACTGGGATAATTTTTCTTCCAGGAGGACATGCCCGACCCAACCCTGAAGGCCTGGGCCCCTTCCCCGGGATGGGTTTTCCACCCCGAGTGGTTTTGCGACGCTTGGCCCCAGATCTTGGTCAGGGCTTCCTGAGGGCGAAAGCAGCCCGACACCCTTTAGGCCTCCCAGATGGGGTCCGAGTAGACGGGGTCGGAGGATCGCGCCGCACCGCCGATGCATCGATGATGCGGCTCGATGTGGAGTCTGGGTTTCCCCACGCCGACGTCGCCGACGCATCGCCGACGTCGCATGTGTGTCGCCGATGCACCGCCGATACATCGGCGATGCATTGGCGATGCGGCGCGATCCTTCGACCCCATCTACTCGGACCCCAACGGGGAGGCCTCTAAACCCTCAGTCGTGATTTTCGGTCGCGGCGCGAGGGGGTCTGGGTCTTGCCCAAGGGGGGAGAGAGCCGGCGGGCACCCACTATGCACCCGCACCGATCCTGGCCATGCTCATCCTGAGTCCAGGATCGGTGTATGCGCCCTCCCCTGGCTTGGGCAGGAGAGCATCGACACCGGTCCTTGTAGGCGTGTAGTTGGCACCCTCCCAGGGAGGGGGGTCCCAAGGGGAAGTATACACCACCACCAGGCCCGCATAAGGCCCGGCCAGGAGCCGATGGGGCCTGGCCCCCCATCGAAGCAGGCGAGCAGAGAGAATCTCCCTAGCGGATCGGAGAGGACGCCTGCGAGAGAGAGAGAGAGAGAGGGTGAGTACGCACGACGCTTCCGAGAGCAGCATGGCCCAGAGGGGGGCTGGTGGGGGCCTCGTATGGCGGTGGTGTGCCCAGAGCGCTTCGCGTTGTGGCAAGCTCACGGCGAAGGGTTTGAAGCTCGCCTTCGGCCTCCTGGGGCCCTTGCCGTCAACAGGCCACCCTGGATGACTCAAGCAGTGGCGAAGCGCCCAGGCTTGCCTACAATGAATTAGGCCCACCGAGGAATGTTCTAAGAACCCTTTCTGGTCTGGACGCAGTGTTCTTAGAACAGTTCTGGCTGAGACTGCTTTGTTTTAACCACCGGGCTTATGTTCTAAGAGCGATCCTTTTTATAAGAACACGTTTTGGGTTCTGAGGACATTACGTGGTAGGCCTATAGGACTGCCGGGACGCTCGGTCCCTGCTCAAATGACAGAGTCCGCCCTTGGGAAGGGGTCGAGGGTCCGCAACCCTGTGCGAAGGGGAAGGATCGCTGGAAGGGATGTTCAGCTCGACCAGCGCGGACCTCCACTAGCTGATGCATACGGCTTCGTGCCGTGTTTTTTGGCTCTCTGGAGGCTGCGGAGCTGGGACGCCAGCCCCTCTCCGACGCCTCCCGCCAAGGCCTGGGCGTCCCCGACGTCGACGGCGACGTCGGCGGCGGCGGCGGCGGCGGCGGCGACAATCCCAAGAGGTCTCCAGAGGAGGTCCCCAGAGGCTTCCGAAGGTCACCAACAATTGAGAGGGCCAAGGGCCCAGACATCCGGCCAGGTGCTTCTCCATTGCGTGGCCCCAGAGCACTGGTCAGACCCCTTCCCTGGGGGCAGTTTTTCGTAGACGAAAACTGACCCCAGGATCCAGGATCCTGGATCCAGGATTCTGGATGGCCCCAGGGCATTTTTTCGTCGACGAAATCTGCCCTGGAACCATCAAACATGGATCCGTGTCTGATTGTCCCAGGGCCTCGCCACGGCCCCCAGAGGCCGAGCTCGGGGCAATGCGCAGGGATGGAAGCCATGTAATCGTCGGCGAGCTGGGGATGCCATGATCCTCAAGCCTCGAGCCTCAATCTCGTTGGCGAAAACATACCCGTCTTCGCGGCCTCGCGGGCTGGGCCCCTGGGCCGCGACCCCGCGGAGCCCGCACGTACGCCCCGCCGGAGCCTACGCGTACGACCGCGTATGCACAGGATCGCACCCCAGAATCCAGACCGCGAGTGCGCGGATACAGACACAGTCAACCCGCATAGTCAGGATGAGAGCGACTTTCCAAGGTTACCCTTGCATCTTTACCCCTTCGGCCCATCCTTGTCGACTTTCGCTGGCCAGCCTCGTTCGAAGAACCTTACACCATGGCCCTCCAGGGCCCTTGCATCCTTATCGCGCACCCTACTTGTACGGGTTGGCTGTGCGCTCGCTGCTCGCGGCAAACCCCGAGGAGAAGGCGGAGGAGGAGGAGGAGGAGGAAGAGGAGGAGGAGGAGGAAGAGGAGGAGGAGGCGGGGCAGGAGGAGGAGGAGGAGGAGGAGGAGGAGGGGGAGGGGGTGGAGGGGGGGAGGGAGGAGGGGAGGGGGGAGGGAGGAGGGGGGAGGGAGGAGGGGGGAGGGAGGAGGGGGGAGGGAGGCGACGACGCGCGGAGGCCCGGGCGTCGCCGCTGCTCTCGGCGCGCCGGGCGCGGGTCGTGCACCCCGCGCCCGCCAGCGGGGCGGAGCGCGAGGTGGCCGTGGCGGCCGCGGGGCTGGGGCCGAAGTTCGGGTGGCAGGACGTCCCGGGTCGGAGAGAACCCAAACCTCCAGCCTATGCACAAGTTCATTCGAGTTTTTGTTTTTGTTATTGTGGTTGTGGTTGTGGTTGTGGTTGTGGTTGTTGTGGTTGTTGTTGTTGTTGTTGTTGTTGTTGTTGTTGTTGTTGTTGTAGCATCAATATTCTCAATGTAGATATTTATCATATATAAAGCAAGCGTTTACATATATTAGTCTTATATATATATATATATCAGTTGTTTAACTATACTCTATTAAGACAGACATGTTCACCATCTGGGGGCCCTCGCTGGGCCCCGGGACTGTCAAAAGGCGACTCAGGACAAAAAGTGAGTCCTAGCGAATGGGTCGACACTTCTCGGGACTGTGTATGGAACAAAACAACTTGGCATCGCTCGGACGTGTGCAGTTCTTCTCGGCGTGACCGTCGAGGAGCATTTTTGTTCAGCCTGCGAAAAAATGCATGCACGAAGCCGAATGATGCACAGCGAATGGACGTCCGAGCGATTGCAAGCGATACTTCCGATGTGTGGAAGAAGTCAAGATTTCCCCGCCTTTCCCTGGTTGCTGCCCGTGTATAAGCTGATGTTCTCTGGCACGCACGTGCAAGATCTTCACGGCCTGAGCGTGCTCCTTCGCCCGTTGCTTCCCTCGGCCACGCGCAGAGCGGGGTATGGGGGTGGGGGGAAGCCCTCTTAGAATACCCCTGCTTCTTGGAGGGCGCGGGCCTTGGCTGCAGATGTTAAGACCTGCGCCTTCTAAGACGCAGCCTTCTTCTAAGAAGTCTTCCCCCCCCCCCTCCTCCCCCCCTGTGCGCGCCGCCAATTCCGCTCTTTCTTGCTCCCCACTGCCCAATTAGGCTCCGAAGCGTCCCTCGGCTGTCGCGACCGCGTCGTGGACCCACGTCTGGCAGAAGAGGAAACTCTTCCGATACCGCCACCCCACTCTTGTCACCAGGGCTGGCTTCGCCTCGAAATCCTGGCCAGAACGCCCACCTGGGGAGGTCCGGGGAGTAGCAGTATCGGTATCTTTTCGCTTCCCCATGCTGGGGGCCCTCATTCGTACGATGTAGCTGTCAATGGATATTGCAACTCATTAGTGTGATTTTGTTGTGTTTTTCCCCTCTCCTCTCCCCGCCCTCCTCCCTCCCTCCTGCTCGCCTCCTCCAGCACGCGAGCGCTGCTGATCACCCTCCAGCGCCATTTGCACAAAGGTTGCTGGTGGTCGAGCTTCGAGGCACACGTGCAGGTGGTGTTTCTTTTGCCGATGCGCCGTCCAGGCGCTGCTCTTGAGTGAGAGAGTGATGCTGGGCGTCGAAGAGGGGCCCGAGACGAAAGCCTGGACCCCTGGGAGGGGTGTCCAGGCCTCCGCGCGGGCCGAAGGCTCGGGGCTGCAGGACGGCTCGACTGGACGGCAGCCCGGGGCTTTCGACCGGGGGTTTGGCACCGCTCCGGCGTGCGCATTTTGTCTCGGCGGGCATCCTCGAGGAGCATCCTGGATCATCCTGCAGCGCAAGCGCGCGCGAGACCGCAGAAGGCACGGGGAGCGGACGTCCGAGCGCTGGCAGGCGGGGGTGTGCGGGGCAGCACCGATGCCCACTCGCCCTTGTGTCGCCGATCGGGGCCCGGGTGCCCCGCCCCGCGCGGGGATGCGGGCGGTGCCGCTCTCGGGAGACCGTCGCCGGTCTGCCTGCGACGTGCCGCCGATTTCGCGTCGATGTCCCCTTCTCTCTGGGCGTCGGTCGGGCACGTCCCTCTACAGGAGGAATAGTCCTTAGCCTGGCGAAGGGCCCAACCATCTTCAATTGTGAGTGCCGCAGTGGTGAATACCGCCTCTTGTGGAGCTGCCCAAGGGGCCATGACACGTGCGACGTGCACGCCGAATAAGAACGCGTGAGGCGTGTGCCTGATCGGGTGCGGGTACGCCATGTGGACCCTGCTGCGTCGGTGGAGCTCCCTATAGGGCCACGAGACGTGTGAGGGGTGCGCCTAATCGGGCGCGGGTACGCTATGTGGACCCTGCCTCTGGGACCTTCGGCGGAGCTCCGTATGGGGCCACGAGACGTGTGAGGTGTGCGCCGAATCGGTCGCGGGTACGCCATGTGGACCCTTCCGCTGGGGCCTTGGGTGGAGCTCCCTATGGGGCCACGAGACGTGCGAGGGGTGTGCCGAAATGGGATGGGCATGCAGAGAGCAGAGGCAGGTCGGGGGAGGAGGGGGGAGGGGGCAGCGGGAGGTGAGGTGACGCGGGGCGCTGTCTCTTCGAAACGAGGACCCAACACCACAGGATGGTCGGGAACAAATAGTTTAAACACAGTGTGGGACGTTTTTCGGAGTATTTTTTGACAATTTTGGGATATTTTTGGCTACTTCATTTTTTCGTCGAGTATCCGCCTGTAGGAGGACATGCCCGACCTAATTCGAGGCCTCCCAGATGGGGTCGGAGTAGACGGGGTCGGAGGACCGTGCTACATCGTCGATGCATCGCCGATGTATCGCCGATGGATGCCCGATGCGGCGCGATCCTCCGACCCCATCTACTCCGACCCCATCCAGGAGGCTTCTATTCCCCCTCCTGGGCCATTCCCCCCCCCCCCCCCCTGTGGCGTTCCCCTTGGCAATGGGGGGGGCAGGGGAAAGAGGGGGTGCGAATATACCCAGACCCCCTCGCGTTGCGACAGAAAACACGTTGTCCAGGTTTCTTTGACAGCTTCCAGCTTTCCTGCCATTCCCCTTGACAAAGGGGGGGCGGCAGGGGCACGGGGGTACGAATATATCCAGACCCCCTCGCGTTGCGGCAGAAATCACGACGTACAGGTTTCTTTGACAGTTTCTGGCTTCTAGGGGTCTTTCCTCGGCCCCAGGGACCGAATAACGGCACGTTTGAAAACACCCGTCCCAGGGAAGTGGTCTCACAGGGGCAGGGGTCCAGATTCTACAGGCTTACGCCACATCCGCCGACCCCTTCTGTGACTGTTGCGAGGCCAGGAGTTTCTGGCCAGCGGCGTCTTGTGTGTGGGTGCGGTGTCGCGCGCGGGTGGTGGCAGATACGTAGGGGGTCCACATGTTTGCGTGATGCCGGTGGTCTGGGGCGTGTTTTGCGAGCGCTTTGCGTGCTGTGCACCCGGGTGCGGGGTGTCCTTCTGGGAGGTCGGCCTTTCGCCCCTCAACCAAGTGGAGGAGCACCGGAAGACGAAAGGAGCAAGAGTAGCGTGCGGAAGCTGTGATCAGCGAAGCATCACCGCGAAAGATGTGGCAGATGAGTCGAAACGGGTGAAGAGGCTGTTGACGTTCGCAGCGCGCACGAAACAGTTCGCGTAGCAGCAGCACGTCGCGTAGCACAGCGCCGAGCAAGATTGTGAGCACGTCGCGAGGAAGAGCAAGGCTGCATGCGCGGAGTGCATTGCAGTTGGCTTGACGGCTCGCAATGCGGAAGCGTCTGGTGGTCTTTTGGAGGCCTCCTGGGGGCCTCTTGGGGGCTCCTTGGGACGTCTTGGCGGCCTCTTGGGGGCCTCTGGCGGCCTCTTGGGGCACTCTTGGGGCCCCCTGGGGCTCGTGGGGGCGGGAAGCTAGATTTTTGAATTTTTGGTTGCCCTCCTGGGCCCCTCTTGGTGCCGTCTTGGGGCCTTCTTGGACCGTTTTGGGGACCTCTGGGGGCGTCTTGGGGCCATATTGGGCCGTCGTGGGGCCGTCTTGGGGGCCTCTTGGGCTGTCTTGGGGCGGTCTTCAGGGCACGAGACGAATTTGTGAAAACTATACGTTTTACGAAGGAAAGGAGCATTTTTTTCCGTCTAGGGACCCTCTTGGGACGCATCTTGGAGGCCCCTTGGGGGCGTCTTGGGCCAGCTGGAGGCCATCTCGGGTGTTTTCGATCGCTCTTGGACCGTGTGGGACCATGTTCAGCTCTCTGGGAAGCCACTTGGAGCGCTCCTGGAGCGCTCTTGGGGCCGTCTTCGGGGCTCTCTTGGGCCGTCTTCGGCGCCTCTTGAGCCGTCTTGGCGCCCTCTTGGGCTGTCTTGGGGCCCTCTTGGAGGCTTCTTGGACCGTCTTGGTGCGGTCTTGGGGGCCTCTTGGGCTGTCCGGAAGCGTCGGAAAGCCCAAAAGGCGAATTTGTGAAACATGTACGTTTTACTCAGGGAACGGGCCAACTTTTTGCGTCTAGAGGCCCTCTTGGGGCGCATCTTGGATGCCCCTTGGGCTCTTGGGGGCACCTTGGGCCGTCTGGAGGCCGTCTTCGGTGTCTTTGATCGCTCTTGGACCGTCTGGGACCATATTGAGCTTTCTTGGAGGCCACTCGGAGCGCTCCTGGAGCGCTCTTGGGGTCGTCTTCGGGGCTCATTTGGGCCGTTTTCGGCGCCTCTTGAGCCGTCTTGGCGCCCTCTTGGGCTATTTTGGGACCGTCTTGGAGGCTTCTTGGGCCGTCTTGGGGCGGTCTTCGGGGCCTCTTGGGCCGTCTGGGAGCATCGGAAGACCCAGACGGCGAACTTGTGAAACATGTGCGTTTAACGGGCAAGTTTGTGCGTCTAGGGACCCTCTTGGGACACATCTTGGAGGCCTCTTGGGGCCTCGTGGGGACCTCTTGTGCCGTCTAGGAGGCCTCGTAGCCCGTCTTTGGGCCACCTTGGGCGTCTTGGAGCGCTCGTTTGGCGTCACGGGGCCATTTCGAGGCCACCGGAGGAGTCCTTGCAGGATTTTTGGGAGCGGATGACCCCCCTTCGGGGGAATCGGAGGAATCGGGGAATTTGGCCGGACCCACCCCCCACTCCAAATCGACCGGACCAGGCTCCCGGCTTGGAGGCCATTCGGAGCGCTCCTGGAGCGCTCTTGGGGCCGTTTTCGGGGCCCTCTTGGGCCGTCTTGGGCGCCTGTTGGCCCGTCTTGGGGCCCTCTTGGTCTATTTTGTGACCCTCTTGGAGGCTTCTTGGCGGGAGCATCGGAAAACCCAGAAGGCGAACTTGTGAAAAATGTCCGTTTAACGGAGGGAATTGGCAAATTTTTGCGTCTAGGGACCCTCTTGGGACGCATCTTGGAGGCCTCTTGGGGCTCGTGGGGACCTTGTGCCGTCTAGGAGGTCTCGTAGCCCGTCTTAGGGCCACCTTGGGCGTCTTGGAGCGCTCGTTTGGCGTCTCGGGGCCATTTCGAAGCCACCGGAGGAGTCCTTGCAGGATTTTCGGGAGCGGATGACCCCCCTTCGGGGGAATCGGGAGAATCGGGGGAATCGGGGGAATCGGGGAATTTGGCCGGACCCCCCCCCCCCCCCTCCAAATCGACCGGACCAGGCTCCCACGGGAGGGGTTTGGGGAGGGGGAATCTCACACGCCGATGAACCCCAAAGGGTCGGCGGATTTGGAAAGATTCGCAACCCTTTCGGGAATGCGGTCCGCGCAGGCAAAAGTGGCCACAGTAGCTCCCACCTGGAACCAATGTAATAGAAGCGGTAATAGTAGCAGTAGTAGTAGTAGTAGTAGTAGTAGTAGTAGTAGTAGTAGTAGTAGTAGTAGTCGTAGTAGTCGTAGTAGTAGTAGTCGTAGTAGTAGTAGTAGTAGTAGTAGTAGTAGTAGTAGTAGTAGTAGTAGTAGTAGTAGTAGTAGTAGTAGTAGTAGTAGTAGTAGTAGTAGTAGTAGTAGTAGTAGTAGTAGTAGTAGTAGTAGTAGTAGTAGTAGTAGTAGTAGTAGTAGTAGTAGTAGTAGTAGTAGTAGTAGTAGTAGTAGTAGTAGTAGTAGTAGTAGTAGTAGTAGTAGTAGTAGTAGTAGTAGTAGTAGTAGTAGAAGTAGTAGTAGTAGTAGTACTAGTTGTAGTTGTAACCGTAGTCGTAGTAATTGAAGTAGTAGGAGTAGGAGTAGTGGTAGTGGTAGTGGTAGTAGTAGTAGTAGTAGTAGTAGTAGTAGTAGTCGTCGTCGTCGTCGTCGTCGTCGTCGTAGTAGTACCGTAGTCGTAGTCGTAGTCGTAGTCGTAGTAGTAGTAGTAGTAGTAGTAGTAGTAGTAGTAGTAGTAGTAGTAGTAGTAGTAGTAGTAGTAGTAGTAGTCGTAGTAGTAGTAGGGGTGGTAGTAGTAGTCGTCGTCGTAGTAGTAGTCGTGGTCGAATCAAAAAAAGGTGGTGTGCGGAAGCTGCGCGGCACTCGGGTTCACAGCCCGCAGTTGCCAGGCGTATCAGTGCAGCGGCGCGTGCAAGAGAAGACTACCGAAGTCGGCGTTCCCCGACCCTCACAATGTCCCGCGCGACGCAAAAAAAAAACACTCTGAAGTGCAAGACCTGCAAATGATGCCGAATCGGGCGCGCGCGCGCGCTGAGGAAAAAGGAGAACGAGGACAGGAAAATGGGGGGTGAGGCGGAGGACACAGGGGAGAATCATCGAACGTGTCGAGGTGACGGGCCATGAACAAGAGGAGGGGGACGAGGAGGAGGGGGACGAGGAGAGGGTGGTTGAGGAGGAGGATGAGGGGGACACTGAGAGGAGGCTCTGGGTTATGGTCTTTGGGTGAGAGGTTCTTGTATGTGTATCGGAATTTCGCGGCACTCCTTTCGGGGGCCTCTGGAAAGCAGTTTTGACGCCACTGGGGGGCCGACGTGGACAAGGCGGGTGAGGGGGAGGAGGAGGGGGACGCGGAGGAAATGTTCTGGGTCATGGTTTTGGAATTCTTCGCCTCGGGAGCGCGAATCCCGCTTGTGCGATGATCGCTGGGATCTCTGGTGGTGCTTCTCGCGGGACTCTTGGAGGCAGTTTCGAAGCCTCTTGGGGGCCGTTTTGGGGCCGTTCTGGGGCCTCTTGGGGGGCCTCTTGGGGCCTCTTGGGGGCGTCTTGGGGGCCTCTTGGGGCCTCTCGGGGCCTTTTAGGGCCGTCTCGGGGCGGAAGGCTCGGGATGTCAGTTCGGGCTCCCTCTCTTGGGCCCCTCTTGGGGCCGTCTTGGGGCTCTCTTGGGCCGTCCTGGGGGCCTCTTGGGCTGTCTTGGCGCCCTCTTGGGCGGACTTGGGCGCGTGTTGGGGGCCTCTTGGGCCGTCTTGGGGCGGTCTTGGGGTGCTCTTGGACCGTGTTCAACGCCGTGAAGGCCGAGAAGCCGTATATGATCAAAATGTACGTTTTCCATAGGAATTTGAAGATTTTCGGCTCTTCGGCCCTTCTGAGAACTGCTCTTGGAGGCCTCATGGGCCGTCTTGGAGGCCTCTTGGCCCGTCTTGGGGCCATCTTGGGCGCCTTGGAGCGTTCGTTTGGCGTCTCGGGGCCCTCGTGGGCCGTCTTCGAGGAGTCTTGGGGCCTTCTTGGGCCGCCTTGAGAGACTTTTGAGCCCAAAGAAGCCCCGTGAGTCGCTCGGGCGGGGCCATGGGGGGGGGTCAAATCGCCAGTTTGGGGTCCCTGGGGGGGGACTGTAGGGGGGGGAACTATCTCACACGCCTAGGGACCCACAAGGGGTCGGCGGATTTTTTGGGGTCCGCGTTGTGCACGAAAGTACGCGTCGGAGTTTTGTGGAAACTGGAGAACAGGGGAAAGGGTTGTTTGCGAACTTTGTTGCACGCAGCTGGTTTCGGCCCGCCGCCGGGTGCTTACTTCGATACACAGCTGATTCCAGCGCTGGGAGGCGCAGGCAAACCAGCTACGTAAGCTGATTTGCTGACCCCCCGCTGCTTTCCGCCTTTCTTCGTCCGCCCTGGAGGACGGGATCGACCCGTGCGCTGGTTTTGCGTCGGATCTTCGGGGGGCTTTGTCCGTCACGTATAGTGGCAGTCCTTTCTTACAGCCGACTCGGATTCGACACGGATTCGATGTTCGACGTGGGTTCGAGCATTTTTCGACGCGGATAGCGGCGCGACGGGACAGAGGCTGTCTCCCGAAGACATTGTTCAGGGCAGCCTCGTGTAGTGGACAGTTTGCGCTATTATTTCGCTTCAGGGTCCACCAGGAGCCACTCGTGCCTCGAAGAGAGCACCAAAGAGCTGCTTTGGGAATCTCTCGGATTGTTTCCGTGCCGAGGCGACAACGAAGCGGACACGCACAACGCTTGTTTGGTCGGCCCCTGGCAGGACGCGCCAGACGTGACGCAGGAGCCGATCACGATGGTGGGCGGAGGAGAAATGAACCGATGTCACGGCTAGACTTCGAGGTTTCAGGTCCCCCCTGCCCAGATCCCCTCGCGTTGTGAAACGGTCACGACGGGAGGTCTTTCGTTATCCTCGGCCTCCAGGGGCCCTTCCCGGGCCTCGGGACCGTCAACAAAAAGATTCGGCGGGATGAAGAACCGGTCCCGGGGAGGGGGTCGAGACCTCTAGGGGTTGACTTTGTGAAACAATAACGGCGTCGGGGGGTTTGGGTTCTCGGGCCTCCCATCGGGCGAAGAGAACTATGCACATGCACCGATCCTGGCAAGGCCCATTTTTGACCCAGGATCGGTGCATATGCCTTCCTGGCCAAGGTAGGAGGGCGTATGCACCGATCCTGGGCTCAGGATGGGCCTGGCCAGAATCGGTGCATGTGCATAGTTCTTTTCCCTCTACTCCCAGGCGCTTTCGTCGCCACGGCCGGGTCCGCTTTGATGTTGGTGGCCAGAGCCCGGGGCTCGGGGTGACGCGGCGACGGGCGCTGCGGTGCTCGCGTGACGCCGCGGTTGGCTCTGATGCAAGGCGCGGGAGGGGCATCGATGTTGGGGACGTGCTGCGACCCACAAGGCTGTCGTCGGCGCCGAGGCGGAAGGCAGGGATGGTCTTGTCGGCGCCCCGCTCGCGAGGGCGGTGGCTCGCTGCAGGCTCACGCTGACCCGAGTGCAGCGCCTCGGTCGTGCGACGCACGCCGTCTTGGCGTCGCCGGTGGGGTGTTGGGGTTCAGGTCTGCGTCTTTCGCCGGTCGCTCTCGTCAGTCGGAGGGGTTCGAACCCGTGAGTGCGAGCACTTCTGGGGGATCCTGTGTTCTTGTGGCGTGTCTGCAGCCACTGTGGGCCCGGGACACGCGTGGACGTCGGGTCTCCGCCTTCTTCCGTTCTCAGCTGCTCTTCTCCTGACGCGAGGCCCTCGTGCAGGTGTTCGGGACCTCAGGGCACTGGGCAGGCGAGCAGGGCAGGAGGTGGGCAGAGCCAGACGCGAACGACTCGCTCTCTCGGGCGACGAAATCTGTACATATCCACTGTTCCCTCCTGGAGTCGCCGCCCCGGCTAAAGCTATTCAGGCGACCGAAAGACACCACACTCTAGCTTGTCCCACACACCTTCTGTCAAACATATGTGTCGTCGATGAGCAGGAGCAGCGGCGGCTGGCGCCTGTTGCGTTTCGTATCGTTCAATCCGCTGACATTGGCGGCTCCAGCCAGACTGCAGGACATCACAAGTGAGTTTGTACAGCATGACGTCCTTTTGTTGCAAGGCACGCAGTTCAAGGCAGCACGCAGCAAAGAAGTGGAACATCTTCACACTAGCAGTCACTTATACTGGCACAGTGGTTACAATTCCCAGAGAATCAAAGCTTGTGGAGTTGCCGTTGGCCTCAACAAGAGCAGATACCCAAGTGAGTTTGTCACACGAGTTGAACATGGTGAAGGTGAGCTCCAAGGGCGTGCTATTTGTCTCAGGTATAGGCGAGGACGACAGGATCTGGCACTCATGTCGTGCTACTTTCCAACACGAGGCTCGGGCAGAGGAGCAGTGGCCAGACAGAAGAGAATCTGCAAACTGTTAGTGGACTGGATACAACACCGACTTGATGAGTTGCCTACAAGATGTGTACCTCTGATTGGAATGGATTTGAACAGCACTTGCGGAGAGCACTCATCGGAGCGACCTGTCGCGGGCGGGGAAGAGCCTGATCGTGATGGACCCAATTTCTTATTGCTAAGATCGACACTACAGGCTCATCAACTAGCATTGGTAAACACTTTCTATGCTGCTGGCCCTACTTACTTCGGAGTGCAGGACAGCATACAGAAGCGCATAGACTTCATCGCGATGCCAGCCAGCATGCTCTTCAATGTGGACAACTGTCACGTGGCACGCATGAAAGGGCGCAGACTTCAACACATCCGATGTGTGAGACCCAAAGATCACCTACCCATATGTGTACCAATATGGCATACGTTTGACTGGAACCGACCCTTTCAGCTCAAGAAGGCCAACCCTGAAGCGTGCAACGCGTCGCTGCTAAATGGATACAGCAGAACTGAATTTCTTCAAGCAGTGGAAAGCAACCCAGATGGAACTTTACCATGGCTCAGACAATGGGAATATGAAGGCAAGGTTGATTTACTGAACGCTGGGATATGCCAAGCGATTGGAGATGCAGCAGCTGAAATTCTCAGAGATCCACCCGGGGACACAGGAGGATCGCATCACCACGAACACGCGCTTCTCTCAAATACTCATGCAGAGACGTGAAGCAAACATACGAGAAGTGGACTTCCCAGAGGAATTATCCCTAGAAGTGGTTCGACTCAGCCGTGCGCTAAAGAAAAAAGAAAGAGATTTTGCAACATAGGAACCTTCAACGAACCGAAGCAGTGGCTGAAGCATGGCGACGACGATGATTTCATGAGGCACACACGTTGGCGAGATTGATTGCGGGTGCGTGCAGAGGTCCTCGTGGACGAGTATATCACCAGGTGGCCATATCTCGGGCAGCTTCTCCGGAGCGGATCGAAAAGTTACAGCAGAGAGGCATCGATGGAGGAGCGAAGGCGAGCATGAAGAAGTTTTTAAAGCCACCCTTTCAAGCCGTCGGTTTTTGGCGGAGACCGTTTGAGAGCACTCAAGATCACATAGTGGACGCGCATTAGTTGACGGAAGTTGAATATCCTGAGACCGACCCAGCAGATTGGCCAGACCTCGACCAACTTCGAAAAGAAACACTACACGACATTAAAGAATTGAGAAGAGCGGCAAAGACCTTGCCATCGTGGCGGGCCTGGCCCGGTTGGAGCGCACCTGGAGACGTCTTTCGGATGTGTCTTGGCCCTAAATGGCTATATCGACCAGAACAGAGAGCAGGTGCTGGGGCAGACGACAGACCAGTGTGGAACGTTCCTTTATTTGAAGAGGCTCTTTACCTGCTCATGAGCACCGTGCGCAGAGAAGGCAGAACACCGATAGTTTGGCATCAGGCGAGTATGTTCAGACTTCCCAAAAACAATGGAAAAAGAGGCGCGAGAGGTGAACGACCGATAATGCTGCTGTGCGGATTGGGACGATCGTATTATAAGAGCATATGGATTCGCAAACCAAAGTTCCCCAATTGGATGCATGGAGGCATTGCCTTCAGAAGACGAGAAGCTGCGATGTTAGTACAATTTTGTAGCTCTTATATATTGCGGCGTGCTGGTGTTCCTCATGTAACGAGATATCATGACGCCACCAACGCGTTCTACAGCGTGAAGAGGCACCATCTCGTCGCCGCTGGCAGAGAGATAGCAGAGGAAGGGATGGATCTTCATAATACAGGATGGGCTCTACAGCGCGCATATGCACAATGATGAAGGAGCATTGCCTGGGGACCATGCATCCACGAAAGTATTTGTTAATGCATACGGACATGGAGTACAGCTAGCAGCTTCGAGCATGGCGAGAGATGAGTGGCAGCAACAGCTGCAGGTTTTCTCGATGCCGATTGAGCTCGAGGGGGAGATTATCGACCTTGCCACGTGTGGATTCGTCGATGGCATCGGCAGGAAAGTGATCGGCGCCAACCCACATCATCTTCGGAAGCTTTGCGCATGGGGGAATCTCATCATCAATGCTGGGCTCGAGGAAATAAGGGTGGGGTGGGGGTGGGGGGTGGGGTGGGGGGGGGTGGGGTGGGGTGGGGTGGGGCGGGGTGGGGTGGGGCGGGGCGTGTGTGTGTGTGTGTGTGTGTGTGTGTGTGTGTGTGCGCGCGTGTGTGTGCGTGTGTGTGGGGGGCTCAAAATAAGGAGAAGCAATGCAACATCGTCCAAGGAGCAAAAAGACGCGCTCAGAAGCTGAACCGAGTTTTTCATGAACAGTCAGAACTTCTAGAAGGAAACGCAAAAGCATATGCAAAGTATCTTGGGGGCCTTCATCACTACAACAATGGGTTCACGGCAGAGAAGTCAGCAATATTAGCAGCTATAGACAAAGCGTGGAAACTATGGGGCCCTTTTCGGCCTCGTCGACGCCTCTCAGGTTTCGGGCCATCGACTTCGTCGGTCAGGTTGTCAATGCGGCCCTCAGCGGGCTAGAGGCGTACGGGGTGCATATGAAGAGCCCGCTCAGCAAAATATGTCTGGAACCGCTTCAGTCTAAAGTAGCCAAATACGCTCGAGTACTTCTGAAAGGTAGGTTCACTGAGCGCGCGCATGGTAGGGTAGTTAAAAAAACATCACTAGTGCAGAGGTGCTTAGGAAGCGTAAAGTAGACAGTCTGTGAGCTCAGAATTCGCAGAACTAAGTGGCTCCAATCTATGTGGTCAGGCACCCCCCAGGAGCATGCTCAGGTCAAGTCAAATGTGAGAGTGAGCCAAAGGACTGCGTTGGAGGCGTTGTCCAGGCGAACGCTAATCCGTGGCTTAGGCAGTTTTTTCTTGGGGGGGGGCCCAGGCCCTGGGGAGCGCTGGCGAAGGAACCGCTCTCCTCGAAGACCTCGAGGGCTCACTCTGCAAACTGTTTGAGGAGCCCCGCAAAGAGTTTTTTTTTTTTTTTTTTTTTTTTTTTTTTTTTTTTTTTTTTTTTTTTTTTTTTTTTTTTTTTTTTTTTTTTTTCTCAAGCCTTGGTCCGTCCGTGCTCAGAGCTAAGGAGCTCGCCGTTGAGGTGCCTCCCCCTCCTGGGCTTGGTGGGTCGGGCGTGGCGGGCGGGGGTGGGGCCTCGGGAGCATGTGGAACTCCAGAAGGGGAAGGCGCCTTTCCCTGTCCTGCGTGTGAGCAGTTTTGTTTCGTCGCACCAAGCGATGGCCATGCATTATGTGAGGTCTCAGGCGGAAGGTCATGGAGCTGGGAGTGTCCCGTGTGCTGCCGCGCTCTCCAACTATTGTTTGATTTGCAAGATTACGTTCGCGAACAGAGAACCTGCTCAGCATCATGTACTCAACGCTCTCAAGAAGGGTAGGTGTTTCGTCGGCGGCAGTGCAAGGCGTCGCCAGAAGGTCCAACACAGTATCCGACAATGCACAATGTGTAGCCATCTTGCTGGACACGCGGATGCTCTAGACGCACACCTGATATCGGATCACCTTGAGCAGATCATTCACCCAGATCACTACCTCGCGAGTGCTGTCGGCGTGGCTTCCAGAAGGACAGGCGACTGGGGCGGCGGCGGCGGCGTCAGGTGGGGGGCGCGAGGCATCGGCGGCATCGGGGGCGGCGGGGGCGGCGAACCAGGGGCAGCAGGGCAGTTCGAAGATGTCCAAGATGGGCAACCCCAAGGGCGTGGAGAGGAAGCTGCAGCTCCAACTGGAGGCGAGGCAGAGAGAGCGGGGGGCCAAGGACTCGCACTTTCGGTGCCCCACGGGCCATCCTATCGTAGTTGGCATGAAGCAGGCGGGGGGGAAGTGCGACCAAAGCGCGAAGTCTGCAGGGCCGGGCCACTCCTACGGCTCGCCGCACCTCCACGCGTTCAGAGCGTTGGTAGAACAGCTGGGAACAATCAACGTGGACGGGAAGCCCAACGACGCGCTGATGGTCATCCTCGGCGTGCAGAGGCTACTAGCAAGCGTGCACGCGGACAAACCAGACGGGCTCGAGGGGTGGCTTCGCACGTGCAGGTGCAGCGACTACTTCACGGAGGGCAGCGCAGCACCACAATCGAGGATCATGTACAGCGTGAGCGGCCATTGGCCCATGGCGACCACCAAGGAGCAGAACGACGAGCTAGCCAACCAGAAGCACCACCACCCGCTCGTGATCGACACCATCACCAACCTGACCTACGTGAGCCTGGGCCGCCTCCTCACCCTCGCGCTGAGGATCGCAGGGGCCGTGCGTCTTCCAGGGGAGGCGCCCATGGGCGGGCTGGCGTACCAGCTCAGGAAGCAGTAGAGAGTAGGACAACACGCTCAGCGCCGCCGCCTGACACCCCAGCTTATATGACCAGACCGGAAGTTCTTCGTCACATGATTTTAATGCGAGAAATGGCGCGGCGGGCAGAGCAATCGTAAAACTGCACCTTGGTTTCCCCGCCAACCCACAGTCGGGCTAGGTGCGAGGGGGGCCTGGCCTCGTGCTCCGTTCCAGAGTATAAGCCCTTGCACACAAGTTTCAGGACATGATGTGTCAGGTCATGATGTGTCAGGCATCTTTAAGTGGATTCAGTGAGGGATTGAACCAGTATGAATGAGTGAAAAATGCTCCCTCCTTGCCAAGACCTGTGAATACGCCCTCCTGACCAAGCCAGGAGGGCGTAACGAAGACACCGCTGCTGGGTTCGGGATGGGCCTGGCCACGGACCAGTGGAGATGTATGTATTGCGTCGCCCTTCGGTGGCGAGCAGGGGCACGCCTCCGCACTGTGCACTTCTGGCCGCGGCTTCTCTCTCTCTCTCTCTTTCGCTCTTTCGCTCTCTGTCTCTGTCTCTGTCTCTCTCTCTCTCTCTCTCTCTCCCCAGACCCCCGGCGTCCTGATTCTTTTTTTGTCATTGCGTCGACCCCTACAGGTCTCGACCCCCCGAGTCTTTTCCCAGCGGTCCCGAGGCCCGGGAATGGCCCCCCGTGGCCCACAATCGCGAAAAACCTGCCGTCGTGATTGTTTCAGTGGGTCTGCACAGAGAGGTCGCGACCTCCACGCTCCAGCCCAAGGAGGCAAGGACCATGTTCTGATGAGAGTGCGACTGCGAATGCGAAACAAAAGTGCTGCCCTCCCCCAGGTGGGCGCGAGCGAGCTCGAGGGCGCGCCTCCGCCCCATCAGCTCGCCGCCGCCATGCCCTCGGATCGCGAGCGCTTCTTCGGCAGGTTGTCCGCCGCTCAGGTGCAGGCCGAACTGGAGCGCCAGAGTACCCTGCTGAGGGGGCTGGTGCGCGACATGGACATGGTCATCATCGGAGCTCCTCTTCCTCCTCCCTCCTTCTCCTCCTCCCTCTTTCTCCCTCCTCCTCCCTCCTCCTCCCTCCTCCTCCTCCTCCTCCTCCTCCTCCTCCTCCTTTTCCCTCCTCCCTCCTCCTCCGCCTCCTCTCCTCCTCCTCGTCCTCCTCCTCCTCCTCCTCCGCCCTCCTCCCTCCTCCTCCTCCTCCTCCTCCTCCTCCTCTTCCTTCTCCTCCTCCGCCTCCTCCTTCTCCTCCTCGGCCCTCCTCCTCTGCCCTCTTCTCTCCCTCTTTCTCCTCCTCCTTCGCCTCCTCCGTCTCCTTTCTAAATGGGAAGGCTACCAGTTGGGCTCAGTGCCCCCCGCGGGGGCGAGAGTGGAACACATACGTTTCTAGTGGCGGGATGTTGTTCAATCCCAGGACTTGGAGGATCGGGACGACGTCGGGGTCGTGTGGTGTGTACTTGTTCCTAGTTTTTTTTTTTTTTTCCTGGGGGGGGGTGGGGGAAAAAGTGAAACACGTATACATCAGGGTCTTGTATACACCAGGATCCGCTTTTCTGTGCGAGTCTCAGTGCGGGGCCAGAGAGAGCGTTGTTGTCTAGACTTCGGTTCCCTACATCACGATCGACGAGCACATCCGCATCTGCGCCCTCGCGGCTCTGGATTCCGGGGCGCGATCCCGCGGATACGCGGTCGTACAGATACGTTCCGCGCGGGGCATCCGCGAGCAGAAAACCCTGCGTTCGTGGGGTCACGGCCCAGGGGCCCGGCCCGCGAGGCCGCGGATACGAATATGTTTTTCGTCCGCGAGGTCAAGAACGCCTTGTGGCACATCGAGGACGACAAGGGGCCCGTGGAGGCGCGGCTAGAGCGCCTCGAGGGGCTGTCCGACGCCGCGCTGGTGGCGGAGAAGCTGGGCGGCTTCGAGGGCCGCGTCGCGCTCATGGAGGCCAGGCTCGCGCAGGCCGAGGACCGCGATGGCGCTCGGGCCGCCCCACCCCAGGGGTGGGCGGAGGGGTCGAGTGCCTGCAGAGGTCACCTTGCGGGGGCGCGCGGGGCGATCGCGCTTCGCGCGTCGCGGCCTGGGTCAGGGCGGGACACCCTGGACCACGTAGTCCAAATGCGCAGTCCCCTCCCTTCTCCTCCCTCCCCCCTTCCTCCCCTCTCCTCATCTTCGTGGCCTCCAGCCCGCTGCGGGCGGCACCGCCCGCACACCACTTCCGGAATCCGTGGCGTTTCTGGGCAACCGAAAGGCTAAGTGGCCGGCGTGCACGAGAGGGGGAAACACAAACAAGAGCGGCATGAGCAGAAACTTTGGCGCTCCGCGCGGATTTCTTGGATCCGCGCCTGGGCCCCCCAGGCGGCGCCTCCGGCGCCGCCGAGCGCGCCAGGGAGGGGGGCCCAGCGGAGGTCCAAGATGTCCGCGCGGCGCGCGAAAAGTTTGGGGTCACGCAGATTTCTCCTCTTCGACGGGTGCGTGCGCGCAGGCCCTGGCCGGCCGAGGCCAGAGCTCTCCCTCTTCTTCCTCCTGCCGAGGGGACCTCGGCCAGCTGTGGGGGAATCGGTGCTCCTGCTGGCCCTGGCGTGTTCTGCTGGCTGTTGAGGGTGGTGGCCTGCTGCCGGGACGCCGAAGTAGGGAGCACTTCGGGTTCGGGAAGGGGGCTCGCTATTCCTCAGGCTCTTCCGTTTCCATGGTTGTTCCTCTATCGTTCCCCGTGCACCCCAGGCGTCTGGGGGGCCGAAAGGGGCCTCGCTCCTTTTTGAGCGTTCCTTGCGTATCAGCTTGGCTGTACTTGGCGACTTGGACCGGTGTGATGCCCACGCTTAATGTTCAGTTGGGCATGTCCCTCTATAGGAGGAATATTCAAGAATGGCCAACAGATAGTCGGGTGACGACTTTTCGTGCTCTTTTGACTACTTTTTGGTTTTGTTTTTTGTAGTTCTATGTTTCGTCCGAAACTCGCCTGTAGGAGGACATGCCCGGCCTAAACTTCATGCCTGGTGTCAGAGTTTCACTCCCGTGTGCGGTCCTCAGTCAGAGGAACTTGTTGGCTCGCTCCTGGCGAGCATCCTCTGCCATGATTCCCCTGCCAGTTGTGATTCCGAGGCGCATGGTGATTTGGTAGCAAATCATGGGAGTCTGGTGTACCCTCTTGACTTCGTCTCTACCGTCGATCATCGTCGATTAGCGCCTGGGAGTCGATGAGATAGCGCCGATTTCGCGTCGGTCAGCGTCGATTCGTGTCGATTCAGCGCCGATTAGAGTCTACTCAGCGTCGACTGGGGCCGATTCGCGAGAGCCGACAAGATGGTATGGCAGGCCCCCGCGAGTTGCCGCCGAGCGATTCCGAGGCGCAGGGTGGCTCCCCGTGGCCGCAGATGATCACCTTGTCACAGCTAATTTCTCAAGCAGCGGCGAAGCGTCCTGGCCTGCTAGTATCGCAAACTGGAACAAATACATTGCCAGTGGCGGGCTGATTTTCAATCCCACGACTTTGTAAGGGTCAGGGACGACGTCGAGGTGGTGTGGTGTATACTTTTCCCCCGTTTTCCAAGGGAAAAAACAGAAAATGTATACACCAGGGTCCCGTGTACACCAGAATCCGCGTTCTTGTGCGAATTTCAGCGCAGGGTCGGGAAAAGCGTCGGTGTATAGAGTTCGTTTCCCCATAATAGGTCCACCAAATAATATTCTAAGAACCTTTTGTGGTTTGCACGACGTGTTCATAAAAAAACATCTGGCTGTGACAATCTTGTTGTAGTCCATCTCTTTACTCACGTGAGAACATGGACTATGCTTTTTGCACATTTCTCTCTGTGCTGAGAGCATGTCGGGGCAGGCCTATGGGAATGCCAGGACTGCCGGTCCCTGCTCAATCCACGACTGCCAGGGCTCGGCCACGCGCAGAAGGGGGTGAAGGGGATGGGGGGCAGGCTTCTTAGCAGCAGCCTCCCCCCAAGAAGCCTTCCCCCTCTCCCCCCTACCCCCTTGTGCGCGCCGCCAACGGGCACGACTCCGAGCCGCCGGGATGTGCGGCCAGTGGGCACCGTGCTGCCAGGACGCCGCTGCTGGGTGCGATGCCGAGTCGCCGGGGAGCGCTCGCTCCCGGCGAGTTCCGCATTGGCAGCGCTCCGTTTCTGGGCTCGATCTCCCGAGCTGTGCGGGTGTGCGGTCCTCTCTTGGCCTCGCTCGGACGTGGGTACTGTCTTCGGCGAGGGCCATCGAGGAACATCTGGAGCATCTCGCGGAACAAACAAACAGCGCACGAAGCTGAAACACTCATGGGGAATGGACGTCCAAGCGATGGACAGTCCGACCTTTGCAGGGGTACGGTAGCAGCTCGACCACAGGAAACCTCCCACAAGAAACCCAACCCTCAGACCCCAGGACGTCCATCGATTTTTGGTGCGGGAGCGCCAGGCTGTCCATCGCAAAACCATCGAAACCCAAGAAACTCGGGCCGGACGAAAGGGGGGGATTGGGAAAGGGGGGGGTACGAAATTTGCTGCATGCAGTTGGTTTCGGCCCCACCGAGGGGCCCATTCCTCGATACATAGCCGCCTCCGGTGCCGGGAGGCGCCGGGAGAATCAGCTGCGTGAGCTGATTCTCCCCCCCCCCCCCTTTGCCATCCCCCCCTTGCGCCCGGCCCGAGAAAGCCAGGGCATCCCGGAGGCAAGGAGGATGTCTCTTGGCATGCGTCTCCACGGTTATGAGGCCCTCCCACTCTGGCGCCCCTGTGTGCGGCCGGCCCTCCGCCCCGCGGGGCGGCTCGGAGCCGCGGGGCGCAGCCGGCTCGGCTCCGAGCGGCCGTCGTCCAGCTTCGCCAGCACAGCTCGGGTCGGAGGGCGGAGAAGCGGCACCCACACCATCCAAAGGGGCCACCTCCAGCAAGGAGGTCCACGAGGCCTCCTCGAGCTGGAGGCCGGGGATGTCTCGAGCCATAGGGGGGGGGCCACACCACAGGGGAGGCCGCCCTTGCTTCTGGCATCTCCTCGCCCTGGTGGTGTTGGTGTCGCCTCTCCTTGCTCCTATCGGGGGGAGGACAAAAATACCAATACCCGCTACCCTTGCCTTCTTTCCCCTTTTTTGAGGGCCTCCTGGGGTGCCAGAGCTTCCCACCTCTTCCTCCTGCCGATGGGGACCTCGGCCGGGTGTGGGGGAATCGTCAGAGGAAGAAGAGGTACCGCTACCGCTGCCCTTGCTCCGTTCTCGCCCGTTTGGGCCTCCTGGGAGGCCCTCGTCGCCACCACTGGACTCGCCGCGAAGTGCTGGTCAGAACGCACCCCGGGAGGCCTCCCGCCCCTCGGAGCGGGGCACGCTATCCCCTCGCCATGCGTAGCGTGTCGCTGGGGCAACCGCAACGACGCGCTATCCCAAAATTCTCGAGCGCAGAGGTTGGCACTAACGCCGGTATCGGCGGTGTGCCTCCACCAGTGGCGATAATCTCGATCTCGGTGATGGTGGTAAGATTCGCGTTTCCTGGTGGACATATTACCGCCAGCACCGAAATCTAGGATCATCTTCGCACGGTGGAGGCAACCCCCTCCCCCTGTGTTGGTGTTGGTGCCCAGTTCCAAGCCTCCAGCAGCTGCCTTGTGAAAAGGGCGAACCAGACGTCCACCCGCCGAGGAGAGCCGGGAGCGCGAGCTGGTTCCTCTCGCGGATCGGGTGGCGCTGCTGGACGCGCGAGCGCTGGTCCTGGAGGCCCGGCCGGTGGTCGAGCCGGGCGCGGTGAATGTGGCGCTCTCTGGTCTCGAGGCGCCAGTCAAAGACCCACGGGGTAGTTGTAGGCACACGCGCACAGGCTCCTCAAAGGTTGGGGTTGTCAAGTGTCTGGTGAAAACTAGCTTCCCTGTTGTTCCGTATATTTACAGACAGTGTTTGTGCCCATGTGATGCCTAAGCCCTCTGGCTCGACGGCTTTGTTCATTCGGATGCCTCTGCCACCCTTGCTCGGCATTTGTCTTTCTGGGCGTTGCGTTATGCTCCCTTATATTTGTTGCCACTGTCCGCCAGTGACCGCAGTTTGGTTGCTGATGTCCTATGTGATTTTCCCTTGTGATGCTTAAGCCCCTGGCTCGGCGCCCTCAGTCTTTCTGATGCCCATCCTTTGGCTCGGCGCTGATCTGATTGCGAACTGCTGGGCTGGTGTTCTGAGGGTCTCGGTGCTTTCGTTGTTGCAGTTCTGACTGTCCTCCGCGTGGTCGGTCTTCGACGTTGGCGCGCTCTCCGATGCACGCTTCTCTCTGCTGTTTTTGCGCGTGCCTGCGTCCTGTGACGCCCGTGCCCCTGGCTGCACCTTTTCTTTCTGATGCCTCGGCCATCCTGGCTCGGCATTGCCTTTCCTCCTTCTCCTCCTCCTCCTCCTTCTCCTCCTCCTCTTTGCCAGCTGGTTGATTCAGTATTCTTGTGCGTCTGTAATCGCAGAAACGTCCCTCGACCCAGGCACAGGCCCCCGGGGTCGCTATGAGCTCGACGCACTGTCATGGCAGGAACCACGCACATTTTCCTTTCACGCGCCTGGTAGGGCCAGCGGCAGTCCGAAAGAAAGAAAGAGGTGAGTCGTGCCTCTCTTGTCTCAGTTGCTTCAAGTCTGACCGACCCCATGCGTGGTCTTTCCTTGCGCGACATTGGTTCGCACTGCCAGTTCTCAGTCTCTGTTCTTTGTTGGCTCGGTGTTCGTGCTGCCTCGTGCTGTTTGGCATGAGTTGCACTTGTGCACTGTTGCCTCCTCTTTCTGGATGCCTGAGCCCCCCTGGCTCGGCGCGCATTCGTGATGCCTGAGCCATCCTGGCTCGGCACCTCTCTGACTTGTGGGTGGCCAGTCGTGGGCTCCGTTTGGGAGTGCCTGATCGGCCCTCAGGGCTTTCAGGCGGCGCCGCCCGCCGCCGCACTCGCCGTCGCATAGAGTGCACCAGGTAGATTCTCAGTTCTAAAAAGAGAAAAAATAGACCCCCCCGGGATTATCGACCCCCCCTTTTTCGTATTGCAATTTGCCTACGATTTCGCCCCATCGTCCATCCAAAATATGAATTCGCAGCATGCACGCCAAGCCAGTGTCCGCCCCTCCCCCGCCATCCTCTGCAAAAAGAACTCTGCGCGCGCAGTCGTTTAGCAAAAACCATAAGTTTTCGAGAACCCGTTGCAACAAATGGGACGAAGTGCACACGCGCGCGTCGTCGCGCGCGCATGCCGGAATCCTTTAACAACCATCGATTCGTAAAGCTTTCAAAATCGAGCTTCCAAAAGGTTTCGCAACACGGAGATTCAAACAAGAAAGTTTGCACGCGTTTCTGGTAATTCTGATGCAAACCGCTGGCTTTTCAATATTTACACACAAAGTGCTACCAAACGGGCTCCGCGCGCGCGTGTCGAAATCGCTCGAACGCCCCTGCGCGCGCGCAGTCGCGACAACCCCGTGCAACAAAAATATAACGAAGTGCGCGCGCGCGTCGTCGCGCGCGCATGCCGCAATTCGTCAATGACCTTCGGCTTCGTAGCGATGTCAAAACCGAGTGTCCAACAACAAATTCAACCAATGATTCCGTAACATCAGTTTTCAAACAAAAAAGGCGTGGCCCAACATTGTCATGGAATTCTGCCAAACGGGCCTCTCGCGCCGCAAGCCGAAATCATGCGCGCGCCCTTGCGTCCGTGCTGGGGGGTGCACTATCTGTGTCAAATAAAACCATGCGGTTCACTCTCGCGCGTCGGCCGCGCCCGCACGTCGAACTCTTTCCTTCATCACCGACGCGAGGACGACGTTATCGTCGTCGGCGCGATCAGCATCGGCGCCCGAACTGGCCGCGCCGTCGTCGTCGTCGTCGTCAACATCGCTACCAGCATCGCCACGATCATCATCGTGTCTACCCCGCTCGACGTTGCCATGATACCACGCCCGCCCAAATTGCTGACTCGCACTTAAGTGCCCGCTGGGATGCGCCCAGCGGTCAGCGCCACCGCGGCCGCGTCGGTCCCGCCAAACCAGATGGCCGCTGCGCGCGCGCTTGGGTTGGAGCGGCCGCAAGGATGCACCAGCCAACGCCAAGCACTTATCGCACTCGCCACCGCATGTGGTTTGCTGACCAAGTTGCGGGCGGGTGGGTGGGATAATTGCGCGAGCAGTGGAGCGGGCAACTCACTGCGAACAAAAACTATTTCTCCTTTCTAAGTAGAAAATAGACTCCCTCCCGGAATTAACGACACCCTTTTCCGTATTGCAACGTACGTATGAATTGGCCCCATCGCCCATCTTCAATGTGAATTCATACCGTCCTAACCAGGCCGGCATCGCCCCCCGTCATCCGTTGCAAAAAAGCTACAATGCGCGCGCACTCGTTTAGCAAAATCCATAAGTGTTTGAAGAGTCCCTTTCAAAAAAGGACGAAGTGCACACGCGCGCGCCGTCGCGCGCGCATGCCGAAATCCTAAAAAAAAACGTCGGTTTCGTAAGGGTGTCAAAATCGAGCGTCCAAAATCAAATGAAACACATGGTTTCGCAACACGGAACATGCTTTGATTTGTCTTTGTATTCTTAATTTATATTTTTCTCCCGTTTGTTAACTATAAAAAGAACAAATACAAAACTTGCGCGCGTGTTCCTGCGAAGTCTGATCAAAACCATCGGCTGTTCAACATTATCAGAAATACCAAACGAATTTTGCGCGCGCACATGTCAAAACCGTTCGAACGCCCTTGCGCGCGTACCGTCGCGAGAATCCTTTGCCGAACATTGTTTGACGAAGTGCACGCGCGCGCGTCGTCGCTCGCGCGTGCCGAAATCCATCAACAACCTGCGGTTTCGCAACGCTGTCAGAACCGAATGTTCAATAACTTGACGCCGGCGGTACCGTTAACCTACTTTTTGCGTTTGCGCAGAGCACTGGCAGGCGGTGAACTTCCCAGACTCAGCCTACACACAGCCCGCAAACGCCGCCAGGCGCCCCGAGCGGCGGCGACGGCGACGGCGGCGACTGCGGCGACGGGCGGCATCTCCTGCAAAAACCGCCACTCGCCCCGAGCGGCGGCGACGGCGACGGCGACGGCGACGGCGACGGTGGCGACGGGCGGCACCGCCGGCAAAAACCGCCATTCACCCCGAGATGATAATGCCAAGCAGAAGCCCGTAATCGCAAACACTTTTTGGGAAAGTGCTGCGCAACGTATGTTGCACCACATGGGGATTGCACCTCCTTCGTTGCATCACGTAGCGTGCACCACATAGAGACTGCACCGCCTATGTGACACTACGTAGCTTGCACCACATATATTTCACCACGTACGTTACACCACACAGCTCACACCATATATAAATATGTATATATATACGTTTAGATATTGCATTACGCACGTCGCATCACTATAGATGGCAACGCACCGACTGCAATGCATGGCGTGCACCACTATAGCTCAAACCACAACGATTGAACTGCAGAGCTTGCGCCGCTTAGCTCACATCGCATATGCTGCACCGCATAGGGATTGCACCACATTTATTGCACCACGTACCTTGCGCACCAAGTAGGCTGCACCACGTAGTTTTCATAACATATCTTGCACCACATGGATTGCACCACGTAGAATGCGCCACATCGATTAGTCGACATACATTGCACCACATATTGGCACTACATCGGTTGCACCACTTAGGTTGTTAGAAGTACACCTCGGGGCCCACGCTGGCTAGCACTTCTGTGCACATGTGTATAGTTTTGAGTGTATATATATATATATATATATCTTCGGGTCTATAAATATGTAGTTAGATGTATGCGTATATGCACACAGCACGCATGCACAACACCCAAGCACCCTTGGCAGCACGTGCGCGCCATGTCCTGGGCGGGTGCCGCGCGGGCGTGTCTGCACTTTTCTGCCCCCCTCCCCAAAGGCGCAGGTGGACGCCGTGCGCGCGGATCTGGCCCTCTGCGGCCGCAGGACCTCCGCGCTCGACGCGCAGGTCAGCTTCGCCAGGGACTCGATCGGCGCCCGCGTGAACGCGCCCCGTGGACGGGGGAAACGGGGCATGCTGCTCTTAATGTGGTGCAGCCGCTGGAAGCAAACGTGGAAGACCCTTTTCCATGGAGTGCCGAATCCAACATGCTCCTCATGCCTCCTGCTCCCACCCCACCTCTGCAGCTCATCCCGGTACGGCCCGAAGGCGCCATAGCGGCGGAGACGCATCGCTGACCGCACATCGTTGAGCTGAGCGCACGGCGAAGAGAGCACATTTGAGATTCAGTGTGTTCTGCCTGTGCCGCACTGGGCGTGGTCGAGGATCGAAGCGTTCGCGCCCGTCTGTGCTCCCCCATCGTTGCGTCCCAGGCCTCCTCCTCCTCCCCCTCCCCCTCCTCCTCCTCCTCCTCCTCCTCATCCCTCCTCCTCCTGCTCCTCATCCCTCCTCCTCCTCCTCCTCCTCCTCCTCCTCCTGGGGGGGCTGGGCGCCGTATCCTGGCGCTCGGCTTCTCCTACCTCGAGGGCGCGTTGTCAGGCCTGCCCATCGCGGCAGGCAAGGAGAGGAGAAACTGGTTCATTTTTTAGCACCAGCTGCTTGGCATTCTGCCTTGCTGCATGTGGCATTTCTGCGCCCGTTGCACTGGAGGCGGGGACTAGGCGCGGGGATTTGTGCAGTTGGTTGAGAGGTGGGGCCATGAGGTCCGTAAATCCCATGGGGCCTTGTGCCCACTCACCTTGGGGAACAAACCCAGTTGCACATGTCGCTTGATTCGGCAGGGTTGAATGTGGTAGCCTGCCGAGGAACCCGTGATAATGGTGAAGGCTCAGGGGCCCAGCCACCCTGCGCACCGTGCCGTCTCGGGTGGGCAGGTCACGGGCGACGAGGTTTCCTCCCTGTTCCTTGTCTGCGTCTTGGGAGAATGACTTCAGTGCCTCCAGTGCCTCCTCCTCCTTCTCCTCCTCCTCCTCCTCCTCCTCCTCCTCCTCCCCCTCCTCCTCCTCCTCCCCCTCCTCCTCCAGCAGCCCCGCCCTGTGGCGGAAGTCGGCGGAATGCGGGCTGTCGCCAGCGGAAGGCCGGCGGAAGGATCGGGGGTAAGGATGGGGGGGAAGTAGGCACAGGGGGGGATGCAGCGGTCTGGAGTGGTTGACACATCGGCGATGCATCGACGATGCGTCGCTTGCACCATGGCGATGTACCGACGATTCATGGACGGTGCATGGGGCGGTACGCATCGGCGATGTATCGACAATGCATGGGCGATGTATCGGCCACTCGAGGTCGATGCGTCCCCCACTATCTTCGCCCCGGCGGCGCAAGCAGAAGCGAGGCGTCAGTATTTGTTGTTCAGGGCTTCCGGAATCGGCCGGATTGGGGGGTACAGCAGCAGCGCGCAATAGCACATAACCATACCCACAGGGGGGTCGAAGGGACGAGGACTGGCCATGGGTAACTATTGGTGCGGGCTGGCGGACCCCAGGGGAGGCCGCCTTTCAAGCGGGGACCCCCGTCCGACAACACGCACTCATAGTCCCCTTCGTCCCCCCCCCAACCTAGAGATACACATACATATACATATACATATACATTACATATACATATACGTATACACATACATATACATATACACATATTACATGTACATTCACATATACATATACACATACATATGCATATCATATCACATGCATGTGCATATACATGCATCTACATATACATACACGTGTACATATCCATTTACACATTCATATACATATACATATACCTATACATATACATATACCTATACATATACATCCACATATACATTCACACTTTCATACACACATACATAGGTATGAACATATACATATACATATGCATATACATAGACCTATCCATTTACATATACATATACACATGCATATACATAAGACATTTCCATCTACATTTACATACACACATGCATACACATACACACATAAACATAAACACATACATATAGTATCCACATACACATACACATACACATACACATACATATACAGATGCACATACACATACACATACACATACACAGACGGATACATATACCTATACATATACGTATACATATACATCTACATGTATACATATAGCAGGGGGCCAGGCCTCGGGGCCCGGGTGCCACGACCTCTACCACAAATGGGGGTGTGCAGGCGAACCGATATTTCGAGGTCCCTGGCCCTAGAGGCTCCTAGTAGGCCCCCAGGAAGCCCCAAGCGGTTTCAAGTTGCCCCCAGGGGCCGCAAAAGAGGCCCCCCAACACACCCCAAGACATCATGCTCCCAGAAAGCTTTCCGGGGACATGGTTCATCATGGGCCCGAGAGTCTCCGGAGGCTCCGAAATACCATCGCGCTACCAGAGAGTTGTTTGGGAAGTTGATTGGGGGCATGACTGATCGCCTGATCGCGGCCCTCCGCGGATCGTTTTGCACAAAGTTGCCTCAAGTGCCTTCTTGAACCGACGACGACGAAGACGACGAAACGACGAAGACGAAGACGACGACGACGACGACGGCGCGCC